TATATATATATATATATATATACTCATGAAATTCTTATTTCTTATCCATACATAACATGGCCCGATGGCTAAAGCTTGTATTGACTCACTGTACTCATCTTTATTACACACCCGAGTGACGCAAAAGTCCTTTGTGAATGTCTATGTCTAATCTTATTAACTAAACTAAGCCTGCTTTGAGATTGATTTTTCTGGGTTTGAATTTTAGAAAAGTTTGGAGATGATTATAGTACATCGCATGTCCTAATTCCTATGGTAAAAGGCATAAGAAAAAATCGTTATGTTTTCTCCATCAATTTTTTTCAATAAATAATAATATCTGAATGAGTTTTTGAAATTTTACAGTACATATTTAATAACATTTGTTTATTGTTAAAAAAATGCATACAATATCATCATTTACATAAAATGAAAATTTGATAGTAAGGATATAAAAAAAATTTATAATGTCTCTTTCTTCATTGCTTTATAATTAATAGAAGATACCTACATATCAATCTATACTGTCTCTTTCTTCATTGTTTTATAATTAATACAACGCATCCCCTTATTTTTAATGATGACTTGAGAACAATTTTATTGCATTGTTGTCATCAAACTTTTCAATAAAATGGCATGTGATTTTTTTTTTAAATTATACAATTTATATTTAATAGCAGTTATTTGCTATTTTTTTATAAAAAAAAACTACATATAATTATTTAAATAAATGAATTTTTAATGGTAAGAATATTAAAAACATATCTAATTTTTTGTCCTAATCTTTAACCCTATTGTCACCTTATAAAAGATCTACCCAGAAGGCAATCAGTTTCTACCGTATTACACTTCCACTCCTACCTCAAAATTAATAAATAAATAAGAAAGGAAGACAACCAAATTTAAAATAAATTATAACCAGATATACTATGTGCCAAGTTTAATAATATTGGATATGAAAAAATGTATTAAAAAAGAAATTTAAGTTTCACATAAACTAGTAATGATATCACAACAAAGCTTATAAGTGGAGGAAAATCTCATTTTATAAACTTATTTTGTAAGATTGAATTATGTTTAAATTCATTTTGTAAGATGGTATCAGAGTCAAGAAATGCTAAATTAGATACGGCAACAAGATGAAACACGAATAATTTATTTTTATCTCTCGTCTCATTTAGTGCAAAATATCTATTTATTGAGTATCAATGAAATCATCCCTTATCATTTCTTATATATTAAATACTTGCACGATATTTTAGGAACTTTTTTTTAACGAGAGGATTTGTAGGAATTTTTTTTACTTCTTATCTAATTTGATTTTTATTTATTATAATTATTTATAAATTAAATGTTAATATTTTAAAATAAATTATCAATAAATAAAAAAATTGTTGCAATATAAATTATTTATCATCAATATAAAATATAATATATATATATATATAAATATTTATGTATACTAATTTTAAATATAATTTACTATAAATTTTAGTTATATATAATAAGCATACATGTATATTGCACATATTAAAATACTAATATATATTAAACATGAATGATTATCTTGTATAATATAACAATGTTTAAGGGAGAGTTTTCTAAAGAGATTTTAAGAATACATTTAATTTTTTTTTATCATTTTGTTTTTTATTTATTATAATTATTTATAAATTATATTTTAAAAATAAATTATTAGTAAATAGAATTAATTTTGTTACAATATTAATTTTTTTTATCATATGTCTAATATATAATATATATTTTAAAATATTTATTTATACAAATTTTGAATATATAAAATTAAACTTTAATATTTTTAAAATAAATTATCAATAAATAAAATAATATTATGCTACAATATAAATTATTTACCATAAATTTAAAATATAATTTATGTTTAAACCATTTATTTATACAAGTTTTAAATATTATTTATATATTCAAACATAGTATTTATTTTTATATATAATTTATTATAAATTTTAGTTACACATACTAAAATATTAATTTTTATATATTTATGAATATCCGTAAATATTTATTAAAATAATAATTTTAAATGAAAAGTAAAAAGTTAACTAAAAAGTGATAATTTGTATGCATATTCATACTAAAAGTAACTTTGTAACATAATTAGACTAAAGATAAATAATTATGAGATATTTATAAATAAAAAAGTTAAACTAAATTATTTAATATATAATTAAAAATAGTTTAAAGTGCAACTACCATGTATATAAATATATTATTATCAATTCCCACTTAATACTCATTTAATTACAATCAATGCGAGTTTCACCTACGAATGTTTTATTTTTACCATCCCAGGCTAAATATTAGTAACATGCCTTTTACATCACTTCAATATTAATACTATATTGTTGATGAAATATATGGAGATGGTAAATTCATTAAATAGGTTCGAATTTTGCCTTGTGTATACAGCCGCGTTAAATCTTGGGACCAGCTATCCCACCCTTTGAGGTGCCTCGAACGTAGCGAGAAGATTAGTCACTGCTGTCGGCGGTGGATACTCCAGGGACGAACAAAAAAAAAAAAAAATCCATTAAATAGGTTTACTCTTTTATTGAACAAGACCCGCAAATATCTTTTTAACTTTCCTCGCGTATCAAGCAAGTAGCAAGTGTCCAAAAAATATACGATTTCACATTGCAACATTAACTGTAATTGACTATGATCCTGTGTACGGTTAAAGGGAACAATTCGGCAATGGACAACAGATTTCTCCTCTAACTAATATATATATATATATATTACTGTCACATTCCATATCTACACAGTTCAGATTGTGCATAATGCATGTGATATTCCAAGGATCTGGTCGAGTGGCGCATCTTTTGTAAGTTAGATGCTGAAGCCTGAATTTTCAGCTGTCTGCAAATAAACCACTCGAACCAAGAAGCATCAATAACATAACAATTCATGAACGGCAGGCATTAAATATTTGCCCCCTCATTGCATCAATCGGCATGTGCTCAAATGTGTAACGCTCAGGACCAAAGTACACCCCCGTCCTCTCCAAAAGCGCAATACTTTCGTCCCTACCGTATCTTGAAGCATACAGTCTTAGGTACTCTATATCCTAAAGAAATGAATGAAAACAGAATCTAAGATCAGAGTGTAAAAGAGAAACCACTTGCAATTTATGCCAGCACATGCAATGAATATAAATCTTCATGCAATGATGCAAGAAACAGAGACGGGAAAAGCATTAAAGTAGTAATAATATTGGGACGTATGTATGGAATTTCATCAAAATACAGATATGTTGAGAATAACTTGCAAAATTATGAAGAAAAGATAAATGTTTTACCTGCAAGCCATTAAGTATGCGCTCAAGTCTAAGAGAAGCTACCGGCTGATGAGAAGTTGAGAACACCTCACCAGGATAGTATAGAACTCCATCTCCAGGGGGAAGGCCGTGCCTGAATTTTATCTGAGTCCACAAAATTATTTTAGTAGTCAGAAAAAAAAAATCAAAATACCAATTCAGTATAACAACTTATCACAGCTCCATCTTTTCGGAAGATAGCATAAACATGCTATACAATCACCTCTGCACTGGCTACGGTTGCCTTCTCATAACAGTTGGCTCCCCAGTACAAAAACCCTGTGCCACCCTCTTTCCACACACGCCACATGACAGCACGGTGTTGAGTACCTCGCATTCCAAGATGCCAATTTGGATGAGGATCTGATGGTCCCATACAGACGTATGTCCACCATTCCTGTAATATGAATTGTACGATTGTTATTCTTCTGGTCTAGGATATTCTATTATGCATATAAACATCAAACATTTCTTGTATTCAGCTCTCAATCATTTCTAAAGAGTAACACGGAATAAATATTCAATGCAACAGACAAACTGTTTCAGCAATAAGTAATCATTCATAATTATTTATAATTTTAATTTATTGCCGATTAATATCAGCCTCTTTAGATAAAAAAAAAAAAATGTCCAATAAGAGGGAAAATGTTGGAATTGCATCAATGTAATCATGCTGACGGTTGAGAATCAAAGAAAATGGGAGTTTAAACTCAACTAAATAACTCAAATCCTCCCGGCATTTGCTAGGCAGTGTGAACACCTAACTCATTAAATAAAAACATGTTGAAATATTTAATAAATCAAGAATATATCTTAGAGCATCATAGAAATTATCTCTTTGGATTATTTTTTAGTTTCTATGTTTTCTAATATTGTGTGATTTGTTTACTCATTTCCTTAGGATTATTTCTTAGTTTTCATGTTTTCTTATATTGTGTGATTGGTTTCCCTATTTGGTTAGAATTATTTGTAAAATAAAGATGAGTTTTATAGGAGAAGGTGACAGAGCAAAAACGAGAGAGATCGGACAGAACATGAGTTGCTATAGCAAAAAGGATCAAGAGAGACTGGGAAGGAACAAGAACAATAGAGAAAACACAAATTGAAGTTGATTTAAAAAGGAGATAAGTTCAGAATAATGAGAGGAAGTTCTACTGCGATCAAGGACCAAACCCTTAGCTCAAAACAAATCAGACAAATACATAACATAGAATCAAATACGATAAAATACATGATCAAATTCTTTTTTCCCCTCATTCTTTATTCTTCCTTCACTCTTCCTCTCCTTCACTGGTTCTTCTCTCTGCCACCATTGCTATGTCACCACATAATATAGTATCAAATACAATATAACGCTTTCTTTCTCTATGTGATTAGATTTTTGGTAAAGATAAGAAAGATTATAAAAATGGTTATAATGGGATCGAACTTAGGTTTCCATCCTTCTAATTATCCCAACCACTAGGCTAACCCAATATGATTAGATTTAAGTCCATGTTATTGGTTTATTCAATTAATTGTTAAAATTAGTTCACTATATTTGTTTTAAATATGATTGGAGACACGATAGACTAGTTTAAAATTCAAATAATTTGTCTTATCCAAAAAATTGAATAACTTAGAAACTAACTAAAATAAAATACTTCAAAATAATATTAAAATAAAATATCAAAGCTAAATATGGCAAAACTCATTGATTCCACACACAAAAATTGAATTGTTTAAAACAAAACTGGATTATTGGGAAGAACTTTCAAAATTACAAATTAGGAGCTAGCAATAACTAGTTTGGATCTAATTTTCGTTTGAATATCATAAGCAACTTTTAAAGTTAAAAGAAAGGTTGTTAGAATGTTAGTGATAACTACTTTGGATCTATTTTCTCTTTGGTTAACAAGAGTAACTTAAAATATATAAAATAATAAATTAGGTTGTTATTAGTAACCATTTTGGATTATCTTTTTGGTTATCATCCTTAAAACTCCTTATAAATTTTAAAAAGAAATGTTAATAACACATTGCAACTGGGAATACATGAGTAAGGAACCATCCTAGCAAAGTTAAGAAAATTAAATAATTTTTTCCTTGTTTCAAATAAACAAAATTTGTTTTATAAAGATTGCTCATAAATATATCTTCATTCTAAAGAATAATAAATAAATAAATAAAAATCTTCAACAAGCTTAATTGTATTGTTATTAACCTTTAATTTCTGTGTAAAAAGGGTAAAATAAATATTTTATAGTTATCTTAAGTTTACACATTTAATTAGGTATAATTGTTTTAGAATAATCGACCACAAGATGATAATACCTAATCCATGCATCATTGACTCGTGGATTCAAAATATGGTTTCAAAAACTATTTTCTTTAAAATATTTTTTCTAACATCTTCCCCAAATAAATCAACTTTAATTTGTACATCACAATTAACACGGAAGAATACTAGATGGACTGTTGAGAGGTGTGTACGTGCATGTGATGTGAGAGATATAGGGACTTTAGTATCCTATAATACATAAGAAACCACGATGAGTCCCTTAAATAAGGCAACCTGAGACTTGGTTTTTAACAGTTAATACACTGAAATTTTGAAGGATATAACCTTGGAAGCATGTCAAGGTCATAAAATAACTATACGAATCCATCCTAAAACGTTGAACTAATACTGTTTCCAAAATCCAGAGCGTGGCAGACACAAGAGGGAAAAACAATCAAGAATAGACCTGAGCCTCGGGTAGACTTAAATAAGAGTACTTACTTATGTTGACGAAATTTTGTTCAACTAGCATTGATGAGGAACAATGAATATCAACCACCTCAACAAAATTTTAGTGCACAGACCAAATAACAAAACTGAAATTATATAATATTACCTCACCACTCTCTGGTTGTAATTCAGCAATAATATCCTTAACCAGGTCCTCTCGATTGCCCAGAACCCATTCACTGCAAAGACACATTCAATTTCTTAGCATGCTTAATGATATAAGACTTCTGTTTCTTCCTTCCCTGTTCTATTTCCACCATCACAAAAATTATTTCTTCCACGAGCACAAAAAATGAGACTTAAGAAATAAGCCCATCAATCAAGGTATCCAAAAAATAACACTAGAGTTCAGTAACCTAACTAAAGTTCAACTCACTTTTAAGTAATGCATATAGATATGAAGTGATCCATATAACAAAAGGTTAAAAATATGAATGTGGTCAATGAAAAATGGAGAAGGGTCACCTTTGGTCCTCTAGAAGGCACAAAACCTCTCATTCAAACAACAAAACATAACCAATTTATCCAACAAAGTCCTTCAACAAAAAAGAGTAATCTGTTTTTAATGAAAAGAACATTTAAGTGTCATTGACTATAAACAGAGATCCTGAAATTGCTTTATCAAGTAAATCTAGAGCTGGCAAAGTGGGTCGAGATTAGGAGCAAAGGGAGGGGGGCCATAGTCCCCCCATTTTTTTAGAATGTATCAAAATTACTTTTAAAAAAAAATTTTGGCCCCCTAAAATTTATATAAAAAATATTATAGGTAAATAGATGAAAATTATTATGTTAGTTTACACTTAGGAAAAGAAAATGAAAGAAATAAATATTCATAGGGTTGATATATAATGCAATAGAAAGAAAGATTAAAAAAGTACAAATGATAATGAACTATTTATGATTATACAATATTTACATATAAGTGTTAAAAAAAGAAATCTTAGCCCCCTTTGAGCCAAATTTCTGGCTCTAGCCCTGGTTGAGCTAGTCGGCCTAGTCCAAACCCATCCGATAAATTATAGGACTTGATCTCTAAATTTCAAGCCCAAATTAAATATGGTCTTTTTAGTCCAATCCAACAAAGCTCATGTTATAAATGGGTTTGGACCTAGCCCAATCAGGCCACAGGCTGTCCGCTTCCTCATTTAATTTTGTTAAGTGACTAAGAAAAGTTTAATAAATAAGAGAAGACAAAATAAAATTATAAATTTTATAAACTTTTGCCTAAATGGTTAAATATTATATATATGGGTACTTTTTCATTACAACTTTTATAAAATGATAAATAAGATTAACATATTACACATAATGTTTTTTATATTAAAAATAATTACAACAATTGTCACATTATCAATTTTTAATCTTTTTCATAATATAATAATAGAGTAAATTAGTTATTTATATTTTATTTATTACATTATAATAATAAACATGTCAATAAAAATAATTATCTAGCTTGAATTTTGGGGGGAAAAAAATTAAATATGTCAAGCCAGCCTGAAAAACCCACAGCCCACACAGGATCAGATTTGAGAATTAATTTAGAAGACCAAATCAAATCCAGTCCTTTTTGACCCAGACTATTCCGTAGCCCGCAATGGGCTAGGTAGTCTGTATTGCCAGCATCGGAAATCCCAAGAGATTCCAAAATTACTTCACTGTAAGCAGAGTCTCACTATACATATTTCAGGAACATCCAATCGCAACTTGGAATTGCATAACCAAGATTTTACGACGTGAGGACAGAAAAAAGTATTAAATATCAATACCAAGTTTGGATTAAAAATGTAAAATGTGTTTAGAATGTCGTTTAGTCACGTTTAACACCAATCCGTTGTGAGAGAAGGATTGGCATTGAACATGCATCAGAAAGCAAAAATGGCGTAAAACAAACGCATGCTTAATCAGTTTAAACTGGGAATAGATCTCAAAGTGAAAGTACTAAAGTGGGTAAAGAAACAAATAATGAAATGGGTATATAAAATATACCAACATATATGTTAATGCCAAGAGTAGCTATCAATTTCTTTTTTTGCCATACTGTTGGTCAAAAATACGCAAAGCTAAGCAAATAGCCCGAACATGTAAATTAAGTGTACTAAAATTTTGATATGTATACAGTCAATATAGAGCAATACCTTGTACAATAAATTTGATTATGAGGACGCAGAAAACTTGGAACTTTTACAAAAGCCTCAAATGGAGTAGGTGCAAGAGGTGCATCATTTGGTCCTACATAAAATCAGAATAACACAATAAGATAATTACATCTAGAAAAAACAAGACTCAACTACGTAAGTTAAAATGAAAGGACTAAGTGAAGAAAGCTGAGAAGTTTGAATTAAGGGAGTCATCAAATAATATATGAATTAATTGTGGAAGTATGTCCTACAATCGTCAGAAACATACAGCAAAAGCAATAATCAACAAAGCAAATTTGTGATCGGTATCATATAAACATACAGATTATGTGACTTACTTTCCTTGGTAACAGTCACAATACTTATGGAATAACTGTTAGGTACAATCTAACTAAGTCAAAATCTTCCAGTCAAGAAGATTTAGAGACAGGTAAAATATTAAACCACATGGATGTGCCAGTAAACAATGTATATACCATTCTACCTAAAATCTTATTGTAAGGTTAAATTTGCCATGAATGAGAAAATGTTTTTTCATATAGTAATATATAGGAACAAAGATGGAAAACTGAAGCCATTGCCCCAACAAAGCTATTCTTAGATCATATAACCGTAAAGAGCACCTGGAAGATGCCAGTTCCTGCTATCCAATTAACTAATTTAGGATATAATTAATTACAGTCAGCAAACACAATGAATACCATGTGAAATATTTGCAGTCATTCTGAAAAGTGCATTTGCTAAATAAACCATGGCTATTGCCTAGATAAGAAACAACCAAAAAGACATCATAAGGGAGAAATTATCATCAAGTCTATACATAAGACTGTAGAGATTAGGTTAGGGTAATTTAAGGTAGATAACACATACCACAATAGTATGTAGTTAAAATACGGGCATCTGGAGCATAAGCATGAATCTCACTGGCCATATTGCGAACAGAATCATATTGTTCCAAGTTCAGTGGCTGGAAAAAATAAGAAAGCTAATCAGCTTATCAGGGTCATAGTAAACTGGACCAGGTTCATATTTATATTATTACTGACCACACAAGACAGTAAAAATAGAATGAAGCTATTAAAAAAATTTAGTCAACAGGAAAGTGTGAAAATAATTAATCAATGACTAATGATGGAGTCACTTGCTTGATTTTTAAGTATCACTATCCAATCCAAAGATAGAATAATGTAGATCTAAGCTATGATGTCATCCTAGGCCCGAACTTTTATATTTTTGCAAATGATAGCACATATGTTTATACCTCATCCCACAAATAAAAGTATGCTTTTCTCCAGTGAGCCTTGGTTCTCAATATCTCAACTTGTTTCTGCAAGTAATCCTTCGCCGCATCATTACTGTGGCACATCAACAGGTGGGTTGAATCTCATCAGTTTTCATCGCAAATATACCTGATAGAAGCGAACGGGGACAACTGACTGTATACCCGGAGACTACTTGTTTATATGGTACAGCATATGCTGCCAACCGTGGATCTGAAAAATATTCATCTGATTTTGGATGATCCGCTACAATAGCAAGAGGGGAAGTTTCAGCAATGCTATTCTTCTTTTGGAATTGATTCTGTCAAACTTATTGCCTCAGAAAAATACCTGGCCATGGAGATGTGTATGTCAAAACACGCATACCATCAGCCCATTTACAAAAATATGGGCTGATTCTATATTGAAGAAGCCATTTGAAATGTTGATCCAATGCCTCGTACCACTCAGCTGTCCCTTGTTGAACACCAAAGCGATCCTCAATTACAGTATCAGATATCTAGTGTATAGTAAAGGAAACAAAAGTGTGCAACAGATAAATTTTCCTAATTTCATAAAGACCTAGATCCAAAGTGCATCAGTGAATGGAAAATGTGAACTAAGCAGCACTAATTGAACAAAAAGAAGCAATATCATACTTCAGTGACCAAGTTTGTTTGAAGTAACTAATAAGTTTTGATCATTTAATGATCCAACTGAGACAAATATAAATGCCAGTTACATTTTCTACAAGCATTACAAAAAATAAATCAAATAAAATGGATTTACTTGTCTGACATTTAATATGGAGAGGATACACCAAATACAGCAGGGAGTGAAGGAGTTTCAGGAAGTACAAATTCCCAAACAGTCAAATTTAACTTTAAGCGTAGAGAGAGACTTGAAAAAGCATCCTCATCCATTATGTCTACTGGTCCATTATCTGAAAGGAATTCAGAAAATGATGGAGACAGAAGAATCCTTCTTAAAGATGTAGCTGCAGATTTCACCCTTTCAACCTGAAATAGAGATGTTTACATGAGAGAACCATAATAACATGAAGGTCAACAAAAGGAACAGTAATAAAAAATTAAAGAAAAAAAACCCACCACTTCATCTAATGGTTTTCCATGAATGGGTTCAACAATGTCAACACATCCCTTTAGCTCCCTATACAATTGATGTTTCTCAACCTTGCTCAAACTCTGAACAGGAGATCTGTGCAGTGATTAAAGTTGACAAATTCGATAAACAGAACTTGTAATTATGTGTAACACAAAATCAGAAGTAAAAAAATTATTAAAAGAAAAATGCTCACTCTGCATCTGATTTTATAGCAGTAATGAGAATCTCTCCTTCATATTGTCCTGGAGGTTGAGAACTTGGAACATCAATGGAAATCCAAAGAGCTGTAGTCTCCCTGAAAAAGCAAAAAAGAATGCCAAAAATTGAACAAAAACTGAAAAGTAGTCAACCATCCAGCACTTGTGCACACAGCACTAGAAGGAAATATTAAAATTAAAAAAGTTAACCAGACATGTACCCAGGAAACAGGTTTATTTGACTGACTGGAAGATCAATGGGAACAAGAGCATCAGGTACACCTAAAATGGGCACCACCCGCCGCAACAGCAGTGACTTCCCAACAATCAGTCTGCCAAAATTGATGTCAGCATAAAATGGAAGTAAATGATGTAGTTTTTCCATACAATATGAAAAACTCCAACCTGTCTCCAGATGTGGAGCACAGGTCACTGCACTGAACCTGCACAGTCCCTGCAACACCAGAACCACCCCACGAGACCTTTGGTCGGATAGCTATTTGCACACTCTCCCTCTCATTTCTAGCTGCCAGCAGGTTTATCTACAAGATAAAGCAAAAGCTCTGATGTCAGAAGAAAAATACAAAATGTTTCAGGTTTTACAATTTCTTCAGTCCAATAGGATTCTACAACTTCTATATGCATAAACTCCATCCACAAATCTAAGGTAAAGAACTTTACAGTTCCAAAAGTGAAAGTCTTAAGAGCATCAACTGAACAATATTCAACCCATATCCCTCACTTCTTAGAATTATAAATAGGCATGCCAAACACTTGCATTAATTAACCCTATAATACAATTTTGAGGCATGCATTAATTGCAGTTAAGCATGTAATTGTGCAACGATGAAAGCAAAACTCAATTTACAAGTAGATATCACATGTGAAAAAATGTGAAATAAAAATCATTTCTATTATTACTTGTGCAGTTACTATTCATAAACAACAAACACTGGCAAGGTCATCCTCACAGAAAACATGTAATTATGTATCCAAAGCATGTTACAAATCATAAAAATTAAACACCATAAGATTACTGGAAGACAAATAGCAATATAAACCACTGCAATGAGATAGGACAAAAATACAAACAGGTTCCAAATGTCTGGGCATATCTTGAGGTCCAACATTTGCTGTGCTTGGCATGCACCACACATGCACTAAATCCTTAGTTGGAACTTCTGTGGGGTCAATTGGTCCCTTGACACTCAAGCCATGTGTGCCACCATCATTCCACCCATACGCTGTACCACCTCCAGCAACACCTTCAACTGGTGGCACAACTGCATCTTGAGGATTTCCTGCCAGATGATTCAACCAGTTAAATGGAAACACCACAACAGAGTTATTTAAAGATCAAAGTACTGTCTGCAATTTTTGTTTTTAAAAATAGACGGATCTGTTCCTCAAAAGAAAGTCAAAATAATACAAATTTTAAACATGCCACTCTTTTAAGACTTTATTTCTAATTCTATCTCATTGAACCACAGCAACTAGCCAATTGACACAAGATACATGACGCAGACCTCATTAAATAAGTGTTTGGAAACAGGTTCAAAGCGTTTAGAAATTAGAAATATGTCAATTGTAGCCTCTGATGAAAAAGCTACCTGCGTGTTTGTTTTAGTTAAGACATACTTTCCAATGTATGTTCAACAGGATCCTACATTCACAGTGGATTCACACTCAACTGAATGTACCGGTGATCCAAGCATACCTTACAATGGCTATTGGTTAGCATTATCAGGGACATGCATTTAGGGGAATAATGGACGCAGTTCCAAACAGGCTATAGGATTTTGCAAAGTTCTACACACGCCCGATCCAGATTGAAGTAAACCGAAAAAAGGGGGAAAACAAAAACAAAAAAGCAAGGTTGCACAAAACTTCCAAACCCTCTTCACAGAATTCATACAAATAGCTCCTCACTCACATCACACACGTTCAGTTCAAGTTATTTTCAGAACAGAGTAATTTCAAACATAACTACATAACTACACAGTTAAATTTCAAAACAAGCTCGCGGATCATGCAGATTCTCCATACATAAGCCTTTCGAAACCTCGTTTTAGACAGCTACCGACTTAACAACCGTCATAGATCGTTAGGTCTCTAAGGCCATAATTAAATAAGAAAGAAAAATAATCAAAAAGGGAAAAAGAAAAGAAAACAAAAACAAGGCGCGGCAATTGTAAACACAACGCACAAAAACGACCAATCCTTGTGATTACGCCCAAATTGAAGCGTATGGAACGAGAACTCACGACAGGTGAAACCAGCAAGCTTTTGTCGTTAGATTAGATTCGAATTCAAACATAAAAAACATTTGCGAAACCGACTAACTGTGAATTGAGAAAGTGAAAAGAGAGAAAGGAGTGTGGATAACAAACCGGAATTGGCCATAACGGAATCGGTGAAGATTGTTCGACTGCTATGGTGGGTGGAGAGGGGAGAAATGAAATGATCGCGTTTTGTTTGAGAGTAGCAAAGATTTTTCGCTTTGTATTCAGATATATGGGAGAGAAGGGAATGAAGCAATGTTAATAGTGAGTAGTAACTACTTCATGTTAATGATATGCGCACTCTTTCGCTTTTCCCACTTAACATTTTATAATTTATATTCATGAAAAATACTCCATTTTCCTTCTATTGCTATTTCTATATCAAAGTTTACACACCCTAATTACAATACTTAAAATAATCATATTTATTATTTTGACTTTCTAATTATTCATTCTTTGTTCAGTACTCCTTGTCAATGTCACTACTACATTATGATACAAGCAGGTTAATTATATATATATATATTTGTTAATTGCAATAACTTATTTTGTTAGTTTTTTTAATTGATTGAAATTTTACTTTTGTAATAAAATTTATATTAACAACCACTATATTGAATTGAGATAATATACTTGAAGTCTTATACTTTAACTTATCATTATAAAGGCAAATAAAAAATAAAGAAGAAAAATGATATTAAAAATCATTATTGAAATTATTGAAGTAATGTTATAATTTTATTTTATTTTTAAATATTGAGGCGAATAATTTAAAAAAAACTAATATTATATTTTTAAACATGTAATTTTTTTAAAAGTAGTAATGATAGTCTATTCTGCTTTGAGATAGAAATAACTGAGAAATAGAAAAAATAAAACACGATAATAATGTAATAGAAAGAAAAAGAAGGGGGAAAAGTAGAGAGAGAAAAAAAACGAGACAGAAATGGTGTCTAGAAATTATAAGAGTACAGTTATTCTTTCGGTAGATTTTCCATTAAACCTTTCTCGTCCATTTTTTTTAACTTACAGCCAGGTGTTGATTTCGGAATTTGCAACGGTGCACTGTCTTCTTAAATCACCCCTCTCTCTATGTACATAATATATATATATATATAT